TGAGGAGAAACTATTAACTTGAGACTGTCAGATCGAGAGAAAGAATGTAAAGTAATAAGCACTTAATATATTATTATTCGTCTTTTAGAATTCTGTGACATGGACCCCAAGGACAGTGGATTAATTAAGTTCCTAGAAAAACCAGTGAGTACTGTGAGTGAAAATAGATGAACTATATAGTTCCCTTCCATTCCTTCCTCCTAGGTCGTGCTCCTGTGTCTGCTGGATTTATTCCCTGTCCTGGAGAAAGCCCAGCAGTGGAAGGGAGATGGAGCTCGACCCACCACACACTGTGACGAGGTGCTGCAGCTGATCCTGACCCACATGGAGCCAGAGCACCGCCTTCTCTTACGCAGGACCTATGCGAGACACCTACCGGCTTTCGTGAAGAGGTGAGTCCCTGGGCTGCTGGTCTGGCCGTGTTCCCCAGCTTCAACCCTTTGGCCTCACATTTTCTCTTTTGTCTTTAGGTTGGGGATCCTAACCGTCCGGCACATGAAGAGGCTGGAGCGAGTCATCATTGGTTATCTGGAGGTTTATGATGGACCAGAGGAGGAGGCTAGATTGAAGATACTGGAAACTCTGAAACTTCTCATGCAGCATACTTGGCCCAGGTAAAGCAGCCAGGCAGACAGGTGTGCTAAAAAGAGTAAAACTCAGCCGATTTTCTCTTCAGAACTTGCCTAGATGTACATTCAGTGCAAAGTATCAAGGGCATGCCATATATTTGAATACCTCCCATTTTCCCACACCTATAGGAGTTTGAACTGAGCAGGTGGCATTAGAAAGATAAAATAGACCTATAGTTACTTCAGGCGCTCATATTTGACCCTTTTGCCAGGCATCAGTTGCAGATTCTGCCACTATTAAATCACTTCTCTTTTAAACTCAAGTATATCTTAAGACTGGCTTAGATTGGTGAATACTCAGCCAGGTGCTCTTTGATGCCCCACAGGAAAAAAAAAAAAATTCTATGGTCCGGTAAGCTGGGAAACCTAGGTTGTACATCTCTCAAGATTTATGATGTATATTAGAGTATTAAAGACCATTTAGAAGTGCTGCAATAAAGACATGCTTAATGTGTTCATCCTTAACACATTAACTGCCATGTGAGTTGTATTTAAGTCACCCTAGTTTTGAGCCCGAGGCCTCGTGATACATATGCAACTCACACGTCTCTTTACCTTGGGAGCCACGTGAACTGTTTTTCAAGTTGCATGTAACTCATGCACAGAAAATAATAAGAAATAACAAGTTTTTCATTAAATTAGGATCGTTTTTGTTTTTGAAGTTTTTATTCTATTTTCATAATAAAACATAATAAAAGCCTCATGGAAAAATGTGTTTTTTTCTAGTGTGGCAGTCAGCGCATTAAATCTAATTGAGAGTGGAGTACTTCATAGCACATCATTTCACACCTCCAGAGCACTGATCAGAATGCTAATTTAGGATTTGCTTGCTTTGAAAGCATTCCAGCTCTGGCTTGAGGTGGGTGTCAGGAATAAATTGGAACCCAAACTGTTGAGTCAGCAAAAGGCTTTCTTGCACAACTGAAAATTTAATTCAGCCAGAGAATCCAGTGCCCCAACAACATACAGTATCTATTCTGGACCGCAGTCTCTCACTTCCTTATAAATGTACAAGGAATCCAGAGTAACTTTCCCCCATGACAGCCTTTCCCTTACTCACATTTGTAACTAGATCGCATTTGTTTACTTACTGTCTTTGTCCACTGCCGAACTGCAAACTCCAGGAAAATGGAAGACCAAGTCTATTACATTCCCCCAAAGTATACTCAGTACCTGGCATTAGGTACACAAATATTTGAAGAATGAATGGACATGAATAGATGAAAGAAAGAAATTGTATCAAATTAATTCTGTGTCAGAATTTTAAAGAGAGCAGAGACCAATATTCCAAGAAGGGAGAAGTGAACAAACGTAAGGAGGTTAAAAAAGAGATATGCCATGTCTGTGTCAGACGCTGGGAAATGGAGAATAGAGATTATAAATTGAATAACAGATGGAGGGTTGAGAGGAACACAAACCATAGGGAAAAGTTGAATATTTTTTAGATTAAGGGAAAACTTTTTTCTCTTAGTTACATTTCTATTCATAAATATGATTTATTGTGCATGTTTTCACATTACAAGTTAAATTATTTTCTAGCTTTTATTAG